GAGGACATCGCTTCACTGGCCCAAGTTGGCACCATCATTGCGCTCTTCCCAGGCGAGGCAGATCAGTCGCCGGCTTCTGGACGGCCGCTCACTGCGGCTGCTGGCCGCTCACGCTGGCTGCTGGCCGCTCACGCTGGCTGCTGGCTGCTGGCTACACACGGTAGCCCATGGCAACCCACTGCCACAGGGGCTGCAGCCTATGCCGTCGCCGGCGATTCATGGCACCCCAGCTCCAGGTTGAGCTGTTGTTCAGCATCTTAGCTGTAGAGGGCAGTGTCACTGGCCCTCATATGTGGGATCCGAACCGGGGCCCTCTGGCATCCCAAGCCAGTTCTTAACCATCGCGCCACTCGGCCGGCCCCCACATTTTTAATTAATTTTTTTTGTCTTGAAGTCCCTTTAACATTCCTTGTAATACTGGTTTGGTGATGATGAACTTCTTTAGCTTTTCTTGTCTGGGAAGCTCTTTATCTGTCCTTCAATTTTAAATGATATTTTTTCTGGGTAGAGTATCCTTGGTTGCAGATCCTTGCTTTTTTTCATCACTTTGAATATTTTCTTCCAGTCCCTTCTTGTCTGCAGTTTCTGTTGAGGAATCAGCCGATAGTCTTATGGGGCTCCCTTGTAGGTAACTAACGTCTTTTCTCCTGCTGCTTTTAAGATTCTCTCTTTGTCTTTAACCTTTGGCATTTTAATTATGATGTGTCTTGGTGTGGGCGTTTTTGTGTTCATCTTGTTTGGGACTCTGTACTTTCTGGGCTTGAATCTCTTTCCTTCACCAGGTTAGGGAAGTTTTCAGTCATATCTTCAAACCTTCATCAAATAGGTTTTCAATTCCTTGCTCTCTCTCTTCTCCATCTGGTACTCCCATGATGCAAATGTTGGTATGCCTGATATTGTCCCAGAAGTCCCTTAAACTGTCTTTATTATTTTGGATTCTTTTTTCCTTTTTGTTGTTCTCTTTGGTGTTTTCTGCTACTTTATCTTCTAAATCACTGTTTCGATCCTCTGCTTCACCTAATCTACTGTTGTTTCCCTCTAATGCAGCGGTTCTCAACCTTCCTAATGCTGTGATCCCTTAATACAGTTCCTCATGTTGTGGTGAACCCCAACCATAAAATTATTTTCGTTGCTACTCTATAACTGTAATTTTGCTACTGTTATGAATCGTAATGTAAATATATTTTTGTTTTCTGGGTCTTAGGCGACCCCTGTGAAAAGGTCATTCGACCCCCAAAGGGGTCGTGACCCACAGGTTGAGAACCACTGCTTTAATGTGTTCTTTATTTCAGTTATTGTATTCTTTATTTCTGACTGGTTCTATTTTAAGTTTTCTATCTCTGTTTTTATGTTTCCTTTCTCTTTGTTGAAGTTCTCCCTGAGGTCGCTGAGCATCCTTATAACCAGTGTTTTAAACTCTGCATCTGTAGGTTGCTTGTCTCCATTTTGTTTAGTTCTTTTTCTGGAGCTTTGTTCTGTTCTTTTATTTGGGACATGTTTCTTTGTCTCCCATTTTGGCTGCCTCCTTATATTAGGTAGGGCTTCTGTGTCTCCTGGTTTTAGTAGAGTGGCCTTATATAGTAGGTGTACTGTGGGGCCCAGTGGTGCAGTCTCCCTGGTCGCCAGAGCCAGGTGCTCCAGGTATGTCCCTTGTGTGGGTTGTATGTGTCCACCTGTTATAGTTGATCCTTGGTTGCTGTTTGAACATCAATGGGAGGGACTGACCCTCAGGCTAATTGGTTGTGAGGACTCACTATGACTGCAGTGGAGGAGCTGTTGTGGAGGGGCTGACCCTATGGAGCAGGATTTGCTTTAGCAGGGCTCTGGTGCCTGTCCAGTCTGCCTTTTGTCTGTGTCACCTTTGGAGGTGGCTGGGTGATGCACCAGCTCAGTTGAAAGCTGGCCAATGGGCATGCCAGCCCCAGGGTCTGGGAAGGGACCTGCTGCAGGCCAAGTTCAGCTGCAGTCTGTTCCCTGCCTGGGGCCACCTGGCATGAGTCACAAAGCAATCTGCAGATGGCTGCCACCCACACTGTGCTTGGAGACGCCTTGAGAGCCAAGCCAGAACCAAGGCCGGCTATTGCTAGTGCCGAGCTTAGGTCTGCTCAGCCAGTGGTACAGAACATGCTGAAGCCAAGTGCTGCTTGTTTGGGTTTTGTGAACCTTTGAGAGACTTTAGGAGTCTGCACCATGAGCCATGGCAGATGGTTTGTATGAAAAAGCCACTGGAAGCGGCTTGGGTGTGCCTGAAATTTGGGTGTGGTAGGGTCTCAGAATCACTAGGGCAGGGCAAATGAACCACATTAGCCAGGTGGTTAGAGACTCAGATGCAGCAGCTGCCTATGTCTGCATGTTGGAAAGGGGGAGGGCTCAGCAAACAAACAATGGGTTTTACCAGGTCCTCCATCCAGAAGAAAGCTGCCTTTCCTGCCCTCACTCTGAAGCCAGACCACTTAGTTCCTCTGTATGTCCTTTTCGCCTTTTGAGCTGCTGCTCCAATGCTGGAGCTCAAAGTGACTGAGTCTGTTAGTGAGTAAGTCCATGTGCAGGCCCTCCCAGAAGAGCACCTGAGAGTGTAGCCACCCTCCATTTCACTCAACCACAATCTCTGCTGGTTTTCACATCCAGAAATTATGGGGACTTCTCTCCCCTGCACGGGATCCTTGGACTGGGGAGCCTGGTGTGGCACTGTGATCCCTTGCTTCTTCTGGGGAGAGAGACCTCCACAGCCGAGATATCCCTCTTGATTTTAATGGTCACACTTGAGTGTGGGACCAGCCTGTTCCATGTCTCTGCCTCTCCTACCAGTCTCGAGGTGGCTTCTTCTGTATGTCCATAGTTGTAAGGCTTCAGTTCGGCAAGACTTCAGGCGATTCTCAATGATGGTAGTTTTGTAGTTTAGTTGTAATTTTGATGTGGTTGTGAGAAAAGGTAAGCATAGCATTTACCTCTTCTGCTATCTTGACTAGAAATTCTTACTGTCCTATTTTTAAAACACAGAAAGAAATTCTTTTCAGGCTCTCACCATATGGGGCTGGGGAGACATGGAAGAGATTTTGACAGGTGCTCTCACCTTGTATGGCTGATTTACCTGTTGCATCTAGTGGAGATGAAGTCTTGTGTAGGCTCTTGATCTCAATATATCAGGGGATTAAAAATCTAAGTGAGGTGAAATAAATGCTCATGTAAAAAAATATATAAGAAGCATTCTGAGTGGATATATTCATCTGAAAAATTACTCTGTAAAGGTCCCATTAATTCTTAGCATTGACTGAGAGACCTAACTTCTATATTGACTTAAAAGAGCTGAAAAGTCCACTCATTCCTCTGGAGGCAGAATGTTCCTTTTCCATTACCGATAACTGAGTCTATTTGTGACATTAGAAGAGATTAGAGTTCACCATGGTTGTTGAGTGTTGTCTGAGGTTCTGTCCAAGATGATATACACTTCCAAGAAACCATGTGCAGATGGTTCATATCATTGGGTAATTTGGCAAAACAGGATGCCATAGCAATATTCTGGTCTTGTGAAATACAATATTAACTAATATTATTAATAATTCTGGGTCACATTTGATGTATGTGGTTGGGTGTCAGACCCCAGATCTACAATCTAGTCCCATTTCTGAGGTCTAAGTGGGGGAGGAGAATATGGATATATGTCAGTTAAAAAAAATGATGTGCCCGGAGTTAATATCAACTTTCACTTCCTGATTTAAAAAAAAAAAAGTACTGCTTTTTAAAATACAGTGAATGTTTCTCCATAAGATGAACTTTTCTGATTATTATTTTTGCCGGAAAGCCCAGAATGTTTGATGCTGCACTACAGTTTCTTCACCCTGGGTTTTTTGCTATAAGAAATTTGTTGTATTACTTTGAGGACTTGATGCTTAGTTTCGTATTTTGATGCTAATGATATTCCATGCTATCATATCTGTTATTTATTAGTATAAATAGTTGCAAATGCAGGCAAGGTATAAGTAAATAACATTTAAAAATTCTTACTATTTTCTCTTTTCAGTATCCATACTGAAAAAGAGCACACCCCTGGGCTGTCTCTGCTTTCTGATTGCATTTCACAAAGGAAACTTCTTCAATTCACCCATTCTTATATCATGCTGTGTGTTATAACCCCCAATTTACAGACTATATTCTATTGCTTACATTTTTGTTTTGACTAAGTCCCTGGGAATGTGTGTTTTATAAATTTTTTTGATCACGTGTCTTAACTACAAAAAATGTTTTGGGTTCTCATTCTCATATTATTTATTCTTTCATTCAATAAATATCTATTAAGAAACATACCATGTTCCAGGCTCTGGGGTTAGAGTAGTGAACAGAATAGGCAACCATCCCTGCTATTAGGGAGCGTCACTCAGTGAGGAGGGATACCTATGTGCTTCTGTACCAGTGTTAAGTGCTCTCGGAGGTAAATGGGTAACTGGTAGGAGGCTGAATATAATCTTGCGGTCTAGGAGGAAAGAGAAGTGCACACACCCAACTTTTGAATGCTGCTCCAGAGTATATGGCGTAGCAAGTTGATCTCATCAGTAAACCAACAACCTATTTACACTTCAAGGTCTACTTGGGGGGACTTTTTACAGTGGGCACTGTTTAATGGGTCCTTTTAAATTACAGAGGAATGCCTGAATTTTGTCCTGCTTTTCTCTCTTCCTGGATTAGGTGGGGGTGGTGGGAGGGTGGAGGAAGGTGCTATATTCAGTCTTTGCCTCTCACCCATCTATCTCATTCACGACTTGAAATTTCATAGGCAGTATAGTTTGACTCTTGTAATGACTACTTCTTATGGAGAAATGATGGCTGATGTGCAATGTTGACTGTCAAAATACACTACTAGGGTGAGAACAAAATGGCCCACATTTCATTATGAATGATTTTAACAATAACAGATGAATAGGAAGGGAATTGGGAGGTCCTATGACTAAATGGAAGCATGCTTCTTACTGAGATTACTGTGTACTTTCTCGTTTCCACTACAGATTGATTGGCACGGCCACTATATCCCTGAAGGACCTGATTGGCAACCAAAGCAAGTCACAGCCATACAAACTGACCTCACTGTTAAACGAAAAAGGGCAAGAGACTGGGGTGAGCACTTTCCCTCTTGTTGAATGGCTTTGAAGTGATATAGTTAAGTAAGTTTATTAAGAAAAAAGTGTAAAATTATAATTATTAGCTCACTACATACACACACACCTACTTGTTTTGAGATAAACTGATCCATTTGCAAATGATATGGCCTTCTCCTATATTCTCAATCACAGAACTAGCAACTTAGATAAACTTGATTTTCTATGACAGAATGCTATAGAGTGAGTGGCTCTGTGCATATTCACTTGGGTGTTAACATTTGTGTGATGAACATAGCTCTGTGTATCAAATACTCTGAAACATTTTATAGAAGGTAATTCATTAATATTACCTTGGAATGTCAGGATGTTAATAACACAATCTTTATTATTGCATTAGCAGCTGAATGTTTTCGGATCACAGTCTTTCTAAATAAATAAATATTGATATTGCCTGATATGAGACCAGAATTCTCTTTCTCAGGTGCACTTTTAAAAATAATTGACTCACGTATCACAGCTCCCAGGCTTCCAATGATTGCTAACCAGCGCTTATAAAGCTGCCATGCTTAGGCCATTAACCTCTAACACCTTCATTTTGCAATCAATTTATTTTGTTTGGGAGCCTGGGTAAAGGGAGAAAATTTTATACTAAAAGAGGCAAAAATAGTTATCTCAAAGTCCATTAGAAGTGTCAATTTTGCTGATCTAATTGTCAAAACGTATAGGTTTCCAATGAACCAGCATTCTAATCATAAAATGTAAATGTAGAATGTCGCCTATCATCTATCTACCCAAAATCTGACTGAGAGAAATGATACCTAGGAAAGATAGTACAAGTTGGTAATATTTTTGGTTGTCTTTTTTTTAAAGCATAGAAGAAAGCATATGTAGAACCCTGGGATTGCAGAGCTAGGGTGATTGAATGGAGTAAGAAAGATTAAGGGGCTCAAGTCCTGCCCTCCCTGGCATCCCTGTCACCCCTGGTTGGGGTCCCTGGAGCACCCCTGGGAGCCCTGAATTTATTGGGAAAACAGTGATCCAGAGATTGAGCCACTCATGTACACTTCTAGGTTTCGAAAATTTGATTCTTTGATTAAGTTTAGCAACTGAGCCCCTCAGTGCTCTCTGCATTTGGTCTTCCTGTTGTGGCCTGGGTCTCTAGCATCAGACGCTGCTCCTATGATTCTTTATTTGCTATTAAACTGTTATTGGGGGCATCATTTAGTATCCTATTCAGTGTCTCCCAGATCATAGCTCCTAAGCTGGCTTCAGAATGTGCTGATCCATGAGGGAGTACAGTAAGTCCCCAACTTACAAACATTTGAGTTGCGAACTTTCACAGATACCAACGGACCTCACATTATGAACATTCGTAGATGCAAACAAATTGTGGAAGTAGCTCACGTGTCTGCCGGACATTGTCACAGCTGTGCTGCTGTGTGCTTACTGTACAGTGCGATAGTGTACAGTAGTAC